AGCCACTGAAAGCATCCAGAAAACACAGATTCAGGTTTCTTACTGAGGTCCAGCATAGAGGAGGGGTAGGAGTTGGCTCCATGGTAGGCCAGCAGGCTGATCTCTCTCTGTCTCTGCTGCTGCTGGACTCTGAGTTTGGCTCGACGGTGTCGGTACGCACAGCAGCAGCTGAACAGGATGAGGACGGTCCACAGCAGCCAGAACCCTGAACACATCACACACACACAGATTTCATTGTGATCATATGGAAATCTTCAGTGACATTCTTGTATGTGAATAAACAAGTCCTTATATACAGAACCAAATAAACCAATGATGACATGACGTAATGCAAAGCGTTGTTGTTCATCTGAAAATTTATGAGAGTAATTTACAAAGTGCAGTAAACGCTCAGAGTCTACAGGAGCTTGGCAGAGAGATTCAAATATTCTGGGAAAAGTGAAACATGAGGAAACTGTTTTGTGGGTTCTTGTACAGTGAGAGCTCGGACCACCACCCTGTCAGATAAGTCTCATTATCGGTGGGTGTTGAACTCCATCAAGGGCGCCATTTGTCACCAAATCTTCTGTTTTTGTTAGGCACAGCCAACAGCAGAGATGTGGAGGACCTCTCTGCTGCTGTGCTGGGTTTATCATGCGTTGACCTCCAGTGAACTGTGGGGCAGTTTGCAGTGGAGTGTAACGTGGCTTTAATAGGAAGTGGCACATCTAAGTCGAGGAGTAGGTGCTGCCCCAAGTCGAGGAGTTTAAGTTCCATGAGATGTTGTTCATTAGTGAGGAAGTAATCGAGCAGTGTCTGTAGTCATGTGGACGCTGCTCTGGTCTGTTGTGGTGATTCGATTTGAGCTACCAATGATTTCTGGGTAGCAAGAAAGAAGGAATGAGTCAATGCAAGCAGCAGAGGCGAACTTCCTCTGGTAGAGCTATACTCCACTGCAGACAGACAGCTGGAAACCCCACGACTGAGTAGATAATCTTGCTATGCTTGTTCTTCTGTTTGGAGCGCATGCAGAAGCTTTAGGAAATCAGCCATCTGGGAGGGACTAGGGGTTTCTACTTCTTTACATTTAAAGGAGCCATGAGAAGTTCAGGCATCTGATCGTGTGATGCCTCATTGGCGAGTTCGGCTATGTTGGTTATGTCCAACTGGGACAAGAGCTGGGGGATTTGGTCAGGTCCTGTTACCCGGACGAGCAGCAGAAAAATGTTATCAAAGGTTGGAAATCACACAAAAGCTATGAAGTTATGATAAAAAAA